AAAAGTTCTATTCAATAATACTTTTGCTAATTTGAGAATAAGGCCATAGATGGGAGCAAGAAAATCAGAAAATGCTTCTAAAATGTCCTTAGAATATATGCTTTCTATAAAAAGATAAAAAAGACTACATAAAACCTATCAGCTTGCTGTGAAAAAGAAGTAGCAAGCAAGAAAGAGGTCAAGGAAAATAAAACCACAATTGTCTAGGAAAAAATCAATATGTGTGAGAAAAAATAAAGCCTAGGAAATATACCGGCATCTATCTAATAGGGGTTTCTGAAAGAGAAAAAATGATAGTGCAATGAAAGAAATAATCAAAATAATAATAGAGTAACTTTTCACAGAGCTATAAATAGACTTTAGGCTGCCAAACAATAGACAAAATAAATGACTCCCATATATATTGGCACATTCTTTTGAAATTTTGGAATTCAAAGAATGAAGATAATATAATAAAATCTTCCAGAGTGGGAAAACAGATACAAAGTGACAAGCTATGGTTAATAAACAATGTAGCATATATTAATACAATTGGAGCTCATGTGTTATGTCCTCACCCTTACTTACCACAGCAATAAATCACTTAGGTCCATGTCCAAGTGTCAGAATCTGAGTTCTTTTGCCTGAGGACTTTTTCAGCTCATCACATCCATGGAAGGGAATCCAATGCCACAGTCAACATGTGGCAAAAATTGGGGAGTAGATATCCCTCTTCCATCACTCCTTGGGTGGAATTACTTTGAGGCACATGGTTTACACTGACTCCTAGAGACGTTCTGTGGGATTAGGCTTCAGATTACCCATTGTGGTAAATCACTTGGTATTAAAATCTTTACTGGTTGCCTTCCCTTTCCCTGGCCACTTCCTTTCTACTCTTCAAGTATTTGCTAGGTTCATCTCCCAAATCAACCATTTGGAATCAAACCCTTGCCTCAAAGGCTGCTTTGGGGGAAAACCACACTAAGAAACAAAAGCCTATATAATTTTTATTGGTTTTTTTTATTTATGAATTTAGAATAAGCAATGTTTGCGAAGTTCTTTGGAAAATAATTTTTCACCTAAATTGCTATGTCCCATCAATTTAGTATAAAAATAAAATAAAAATATTTGCCAACATGCCAACATCTGGTAAATTTCTCAAGTGTAGAAACGTGGCTATAAAACCAGAGTCAAAGAGAATGTAAAATATTGGAACCAAAAAGTAGCTGAGATATACAATGAAAAAAAGATTCCAAGACAACAGCCATACAACTTACTTAATGTGATGATAGTATACTAGAGAGTTACTTATTTTATTAAATAAAGATATTAATGGTTTAAGTAAAATTTATCTTTTATTAACAAAAAATAGAAAATCAGTAGGAAATTTAAGTGAAAGAAGTATTAGGGGAAAGCAGAAGTACAATTATGTGAAAAAAAGAAAATGAGGTAAATTAAAACATACTAATCAGTTGATAAAGTTGAAGGAAATAAATTCCTCCAACTTGAAATTTGAAAGAATGAGTGTCATATACTCAGTGACTTCCAATTATATTTCTTTCTATATGATTCCATCAAATTATTTGGTTTAGAGAAGATTATATATATATATATATATATATGCATGCAATATCTGAAACTGGAAAAATCTAACTGAAGTTTCTGAACATAGTATGTCAGGGGCATCAAAAAGAGCAAAAGACAAAAGAATACAGGTAGTGACAGTGGGCATCCTTGTCTTGTTCCAGTTATGAATAGGAATGCTTGCAACTTTTCCCCATTCACTATAATGTGGGCATTGGGTTTCTCATATTTGGTTTTCATTTTTTGTGATATGTTCCATCTATGCCTATTTTGTTAAGAGTTTTTTATCACAAAAGTATGCTGGATTTTGGTGAATGCTTTTTCTGCATCTATTGAGATGATCATATGATCTCTGTTTTTGCTTCTGCTTATGTGGTGAATCAAATTTATGGATTTACATATGTTGAACCATATTTGCATCCCTGGGATGAAACCCACTTGGTCATTGTAGATTATTCATTTATTTATTCTTTGACATGCTGCTGAATTTGATTTGCTAGAATTTTATTTAGAAGTTTGCATCTATTTTCATAAGGGATGTTGGTCTATAGTTTTCTTTTTTTCATTATGTTCTCTCCTGGCTTTGGTTTCAAGGTTGTACTGCCCCTGTGGAATGAATTTGGGAGGACTCCTTCCTTCTCAATGTTGTGAAATAGTTTCTGCAGTATGGGCTGGAAGTCCTAGCCAGAGCAGTAAGGCAAGAGAAGGAACTTAAGGGTATCCAAATAGGGAAAGAGAAGGTTAAATTATCATTCTTTGCTGATAATATGATCTCATATCTAGAAAACCTCAAAGATTCTGCCAAGAGACTCCTATAATTAATAAACAAATTCAGCAAAGTCTCAGGCTACAAAATCAATGTACACAAATCAGTAGCATTCCTATACACCAAGACAAGTCAAGCTGAGAATCAAATTGAAGATTAAATTCCTTTCACAATAGCTAAAAAAATAAAATACCTGGGAATATATGTAACCAAGGAGGTGAAAGATCTCTACAAAGAGAACTATGAATCACTGAAGAAGGAAATTGCAGATGATGTAAACAAATGGAAAAACATATCATGCTCATGGATCAACAGAACCAACATTGTTAAAATGTCTACACTACCCAATGTGATTTACAGATTCAGTGCAATCCCCGTCGAAATACTAACATCATTTTTCATTGATCTCGAAAAAATAAGTCTATACTTTGTTTGGAACCAGAAAAGAACCCAAATAGCCAAAGCAATCTTAAGCAAAAGAAACAAATCCAGAGGCATCACTTTACCAGACTTTAAGCTGTACTAAAAGACTACAGTAACAAAAACAGCGTGTGATTGGCACAAAAATAGAGAAATAGACCAATGGAACATAACAGAAACACTAGATTTAAAATCAACCACATATTGCAGGATGATCTTTGACAAAACAGACAATATACACTGGGGAAAAGAATCTTTATTCAATAAATGGTGCTGGGAAAATTGGATAGCCATGTGTGGAAGATTGAAATAGGTTCCATATCTCTTACCACTCATAAAAATTAATTCAAGATAGATAACAGGCTTAAATTTAAGACATGAAACCATAAGAATTCTAGAAGAAAATGTTGGAAAAATTCTTCTAGATAGCAGCCTAGGCAAAGAATGTATGAAGAAGACCCCAAGGGCAGTCACAACAACAACAAAAATAAATAAATAGGACTTGATTAAATTAAAAATCTTCTGCACAGCCAATAAAACAATAAACAAAACAAATGAAAAACCTATCGAATGGGAGACAATATTTGCATGCTATATATCCAATAAAGGGCTAAAACCAGAATCTGTGAGTAACTCAAGCAAATCAGCAAGAAAAAAATCAAGCAATCCCATTAAAAAGTGGGCAAAAGACATGAGCAAAAGCTTTTCAAAATTTAGGTGAATGGCCAATAACCAATTGAAAAAATGCTTGACATCACTAATCATTAGAGAAATGCAAATCAAAACCACATGAGATATCACCTAACCCCAGTGAGAATGGCTTTTATTGAAAAGTCTCAAGACAAAAGATGCTGGTGTGGATGCAGAGAAAAAGGAACACTTCTACAGTGTTGGTGGGACTGAAAACTAGTGCAACCTCTATGGAAAACAGTATGGAGTTTCCTCAAAGATCTAAAAGTAGAATCACCATTTGATCCAGCAATCCCACAACTGGGTATTTACCCAAAGGAAAAAAGTCATTTTATCAAAAAGATGCTTCCATTAGAATTTTTATTGCTGCACAGTTTATAATTACAAAGAAATGAAATCAACCCAAATGTCCATCAATTCATGAGTGAATTAATAAAATGTGATATATGTATAGCATGGAGTACTACTTAGTCATAAAAAATGAATTAATACCTTTTGCAACACTCTAGATGTAACTGGAGACAATCCTCCTAAGTGAAGTATTGCGAGAATGGAAAAACAACCACTACATGTAATCACTATTAAATTGAAAGTAACAGATCAGGAACTAACTGATCAACAGATCAGCTCTGTGCAGCACAGAACTGCACAGATGGGAGTAAAACTCAAGAGAAGCTATGCAGGTGGAAGGGGTGATAAGGGGTGGGTGAAATCATACCTAACAGGTACAATGTACACTATCTGCATGATGGCCACACTTATAACTTTGACTCAAACAGTAAGAAAGCATTCTATGCAACCAAGACATTTGTATTCCTGTAATATTCTGAAATTAAAAAAAAGAAAACGACAAAAGAAATTTGGAGTTATTGAAATGGCAGAGAAGAAAATTTTACTTTTATTAATACTCCCATTTGTATGCTTTGAAATTTCATTTCCATATAATGTATCTCTTTTATAATAAAAAAGACTAAAAAGAAATTATTCATTTTAAACACTAAAGATTAATAATAATTATGATGCCAGATGTAGAGGAAATATAAACACCTTCACTACATATAAAGATTTGAGTGGCAAGTGTTCAATGAAGTGGTATGCTTTACAATTTGGTTTGACAATATTGTTAAACTAAATGTAATATACAATCCATGTCATTCCCACAACTCCAAGCATAATTCACATATAGTTTTAAATTTTGACAAATGGCTTACAAACGAAAGTATTAGGATTCAATATCAGCTATTTCTACTTGGAAATTTGAATGGTATTTTAGATAAGTTCAATTTATCTGTCAGACATCTACATTTGTAACATCATTTTTGAGATTGCAACATGCTGTTTTATTACTTATGTCACTCAAAACTGTGTGTCAGAAGGTGACTCAGGTTTTGAAAAGATCTTAGCACAATGGGCTTTTCTCATCAAGAAAACTTCCCTGACCTAAACTAACAGTGTACCTTATCCTCCCCCCCTGTATTTTTTCTCCCATTAACCTAATTTTATTTCTTATTTATTTTTTACATATAAAATATTTGAAATTATATTATTTGTTTTACTTTAGTATCATCTACTACCTGCTGCTAAAATGTAAATTCAGTAAGAGGAAAGAGGTGGTAAGTTGTGTTTTCCTTCATACAGACATAATATAAAACACGATAAACACCTGTTGAAGAGATTAAAGTCATAGGAGAAACATTCTAAGGATAGTTTTAATTAATTTTTAATTAATAGCCCTATTTTCATCTCTATGTTAAATATATAAAAGAGACAACTTAAAGAAATATACTATAAGAAAATATCCTGATTAATCTCTAACCAGATGTGGATTATTAAGGGAAATTAAATGATAATTTTGAGTGAAGCAAAATTTTTTTTTGTATAAATATAAAGTTTTATTGTTTCAACTTCTTAATTTTAATCTGATTCCCTTTATGTTTTTAAACTACTACCCAAAAACTTGAGAATGATGAAAACATCTGAATGGCACATCTTGGCAATATCATATGGGGAAAATATCCACTTCATTTTTGTGTAGGACATTAACTAGATACACATCTCACCCAGCAATCTTATAATGATATTTCTTTTTTAAATTTCCTATAAATACATAGTTTACCAAATGCTTTTTGAATCGGCCTGAAATTTTTCCGAATCTTTCCTTTTTTAATAAGTTGCATAAAATCTTTGACACATTTTCATTTTGTTTGCATTAAAGTCATAATTTTAACTTTTTAAAAAACTATACTTTAACACCACCAGATATGTATTAAAGACTATGTACAATATTGATGCTAGTTTTGAAAGAAATAATGAACACTTAATAAAGCCATTGCACACTTTGCGAATGGGAACATTACCAATAGCGTTAATATCTCTCCATATGCTTCTAAATGGTGTCCTCTTTCTGTTCCACAGGTATACACACTACTCTAAATTTTGTTTTATGTGTTTCCTCTGGAATTTCTATTATATACTTTTTGAATGCCATAAAACTTACTGAAATGAAATCTCAACTCTTGACATGAAAATTCAACTCTTGACAATCTAGAATCTTGAATTAAGTATTTTTCTTAGATACACACACATTTAACAACATAACTATAGCCTTGTACCATTGTACTCAGCTTTCTCTGGTCCCTTAAAAATGCAAAACACAAACGCATTCTCCATTTGGAATGGAATTCAATGTTTTAAAAGAAGCTTTCTAATAGCATAATCAAAAAAGTATTAATAAAGATAAGATAAAAAATGACATAGTTGCCAAAAATCATATATGATCTTAGACTGCATTTGATAAAATATATCATCAACAGTGAAAGAAATGATATGCTCATTTTCTGCTAGGGAAATTTAATTTAGCTGACTAAATTTTCACTAAATTAAGAAAAGTAGAACCTATTTGGGAGCAGTGATTATTTCTCTATCATTTAGGAAGACTTAACTTGGAAAATTTATAAGGGAAGACTATCTCTATAAAAGAAATAGGTAGATGATTATAATTTTAGAGGGCAGTTGGATTTCTATAGTAAGAACACAGAGAATAGAACTGGGAGAAATGGAAAACATGTTATATTTAGGATCAACCATCTAATAGTGTACACCTGCCATAAGTGGAATGGCTTTCCTTGAGACTTAAAGACTTTATTATCTTCATATGTTTTCTAGCAAAAGACAGGAATCACATTCTTGGGAAGGTTTTTATACAGTTTATGTGATGAAGCTAGACAAAATATGTAGGAATATTTTAACCTTGAAGCTTCCCACGCTTTTGTATGTTTTGAAATTCATGTCATTGAAAATGAGTGTTTTTAAAACATGGGATAAATGTAACTCAGTAAATCAATAATAAATTCTATAACATGGTAAACATTGTTACTAACCCCACCATTAGCAAAAACCATCAGTGTATTTATTACTCAGAAGTTATTCCTTTAAGGGTCTTATTACACCCTTTGCCACACAAACAAAATAATAGCTCAGAGAACAAAGTAACACAATATTTTAAATATATCACTTATAGTAAACAGCCATGATATTTTAAACTTAAAAATAAGTGACAAGTGGGGTCGGTGGGAAAACTAAAGTGTATTGTTTCTATTCCAATAACACATTGGCAAAAGCGCATACAGATATTTTCCTAATGAATATTAAATCTGTTAATAATAAAGAATTTTAAAAAATGAAGTGAACCTATTGAAGTAATTTGTAATTATGCAATAATTCAATCAGCTATGGATAAACAATATAGACTAAGTAACAAAAATTAATCACTAAAATTAGTGCAAAAATTTGTCACATATTAATACTTTCCTATCAACTGGTAAGAAAATATGATAGACTTGTGATAAAATTTGGTTCTGTTTGAACATATTATACACAGTGGGTAATGGATTAAAACAAACAGAAGATCTTGGTTTCTTGTTGCTAAAAGAATATCACATATGTGTGTAGGGTGACTATTAGTAATAACGAAGATTTTATATAAAATTCCAGAATGTTGTCCAGCAAAAACCCTATCCTTCATTCTATAAAATAAATATGTTCGTGAAAATCTTATAGGAATAAAATGTAGTCATAATCTGAAAAATAGGTTTTGTATGAGCTCACTTACAAAGATGAAGTGCAAAACTACAGAAAGTAGTTAACAACTAATGGGATTAAGGAAATACACTAACGGACATTTTTCTGATAACAATCACACTTTAAACATAGTCTTTTCTTGCCAAAAGCAAGACATCTCCTTCCATTGAAATCCATAGTCTCAGAGTTAACAGAAAAAGACAGCTTCAAAGGCTGTTTCTATTGCAAATTAGATGGAGTGGCACTGGCTTTAGCTTCAACATGACAAAACAGAAACATAAATAGCCAAGGCTATATATAGAAGAGCTAGAGACCCTCAGGAACTTAACACAAGCAGCATATATTTTGTTCTATCTTAATACCTAATTTTTATTGCTTCTACTTTTAAACATTAAAATAAAAAGAATTAAAATTAATGTATATGAAATAAATTATCATCTGATAAATTGATATATAAATAAGTCACATAGATAATTAAAATTGGGTCTATGTACACACACACACACACACACACACACACACACAGATCATTTCTTTCTTTCTGATTTTTTCCCATCCAGATTTAGTATACTGGTTCCACTAAATAAGAAATACTTATTATGCCACAATATTTATATTGAGTACACAAATATTCATAACTGTAAATGAAAACAGGCTGTTTTTTTTTTACTTTTGTGGAACGGGATTACACATTACAACGCTTTCTCTTTCCCTGGGATTCAAAGTTGGGGGTCTCAGACTTCTGACAGAAGGGTCAAGACCTACAAATGTATAAACTTCAGGAAATGTTCAGAGACTGAAAACAGCTGTGATGCAGTTGGAGGAGGGAGCGGGAGCCCATAGCAGAGGGTGACTAGGAACCCCCCTTGGATAAGGTAAAATTTCAACTTGTGTCCTTCTTTCTTCACCACAATGCCCGGGCAAAGCTTTGCCTTCCTTGGGGCCACTGTGAGCCAGCCGAGTGTGACACAGCAGCAGCAGAGTGTTGGGTGGAGTCACATCCGGGTAACACCAGGCCCTCCTTAGGGTGGGAGCAGGTAGCATAGATGTATTAATACGTTGGAAGCGTCTTTTCAGTATTTTCCGTTTACTTTATACAAGCTCTCGCTGACAGTTGGACACAAGAGGATGGGGGAAACTCTTGGGAAAAAAAGCAACGGTTGATTGAAGAGACAAGTTTATTATGTTTTTGCAAACAGTTTTTCAAGTCCAGTTTGTGGGGGCCAGGGCTTCCCAAACTAAAAATTTCCCATCTTCCGTTAAACTCAGTAGAAGGAACAAAAGTCAAAGCCCAGAATTTTCATCTCACTCATTACAGATTTTCATCAGCAGTAGCTTATACCCTAGGAGAATATGACTCAGATGGAAAATAATGATATTTCAGAAGAGTGCAATCACTAAAACACAAATGAAAAGAGCAATACTTGAAGGACTTCTTTGGTAAGAACCAGGATAAAAGATCTCATAGAAATAAGATTTGACATGTGTATAATAAATATCCTCAGGATATAAGGAAAGATTTTGAAAACCAACACATGACTAAGCACATATAAAGACGCACTAATCAAGAAAATTTAAGTATGAAAAGTACAGGAATCAAAATGCAGATTTTAATAATACTTTGAGTAACAGAATAAATACACCAGTAGTGTAACATGGAGTAATAGTTAGACAAACTCTCCTACAAAGCATCAGAAATGAATAAAGAGATGAAAAACACTAAAAAAAAAAAACCAAAAAAACAAAACCCTGGAAGATATGAGACATTGAGGAAGATTCGTATAGAGATAAAATAAATTGAGTTGTGAAAATAATTGGTGCTGTATACAAATTAATTTCTAATATCAAAGATGAAAAGTTCAGATGAAAAAAGCAGATGGATTATCTAAATATTTCGCATTAATGTTTAATATCATGAAATTAAAAATATTAAAATATTTTGGAGAGTAAAAGATAAAGGTAAACTTCATGGCAAAAATGAAACAAAATATTCTAGGAAATATGAGTTAACATTGAGAAAAATTAAGAAATCTTGAGATTGAGATTTTTTAAAATCCACTGGCATTTAGGTTAATCTGTTAAGTGTACCCAATGCTCGACTTATATACAACCTTTTTTTCAAAAAAGTTATTTAATAATAGAATGCAATTAAGTGTTAAAGTATTAGTACATCATGGCCAAGTAGGGTTTATCCCCAAAATAAATGGAAAGTATGATATTAGAATATCTGTCAATGTATATGGGAACATATTAATATGTTCATCAACTGCCTCAAGTTGCCAGGGCCTAATGGGTTTTTTCAGATGCTGGATTTATAATAGTAAAAAGTGGGACAGGCTTGTGCAAACAGAGATGATTGGTTTTGTCCATTTAGTCAGTATAATGGACTAAAGGAAAAAAACATATGATCCATCAATACATTTAGGAACAATGTTTAATAGTATAAATCAGCCATTCTTAATTAAAAGCAAAAGTAAATGCTCAGTTCTTTTTCTGTGTGTGGCAGACTAGTTTATTTCAGAACTACCTGATC